GAATGTGTCGTGGAAATCTTTTTTTGATACACCACACTTCTGCGATTCGAGGTTGATTAATGTTATCGTGTCAATATTACGACATTACAGCGTGGTTTACTCATTTTTATTCAGCAAACATATCAAAATAAGCCGGGGCGAATGTATTCGAGGTATGTATTCCATGCAGGTTCTTCACTGCAGGCATTATTCTTATGCGCACGGATGCAACATCATAGTTGCTGCAGCTTTGTCTGGGCGTGCGCACACTCGTCCCATATCACCCGGCAGCCTGGCCTTTCGCTCGTTTCAACGGCGCGCATCTCGAAACGATGCGGACGGTGCAAGGTGTCACTTCTGTAGTCGCTGTGAAGACAATGAAAGAAAAGCCGAGCGCTAGTGTGATGACAGCACATCATTTGCGGGTTTCGGCGTTCTGCACATAGTGCACGTTACTCCTAGGCGATCCGCGGCGTGATCACATTTTGAATGTCGAGTTAGGCAATCAATAAGCTCAACCGTGTTGCCTTTTGCGCTCTCATTCGCCGAACTAACGCACGTAGTAATACTCGGTCCAAATATGATGTGTCTATGAACATGCATGAAACCACCAAACGTCCTGCAGTGGTTTCGATGCTCCGATACTGACCCGAAAGACGCATCTTCAAGTCTAGTCGCGCATGCCGTATTTCGATAGAGGAGAGATACTTGAGACTAGTATACTGAGTGGACGTTAAAGAACCCCGACTGAGCAAACATTCCAAGTCGTTACTTTGGTGGAGCTCTATGTCATATCTATATAATAAAATTTATTTCTCTCTCTATATCGTGGTTCTGTCACGTCGAGAACCCGCACTTATTATTGGTAGGAGTCGAGCCTCGACCCAAGAGTTTCTAGGATTCGAATTTCAGATATTAATGTGTCACCTTATACTACGCAGCTTCGCTTGAGAAAAGCTGAGAAACTGCATGTTTTCCGCGCTGCATCAAGGAAGAAAGCGTATTGCACGGCGCACTCGAGCCATGCTGTTACATTAGAGGCATTTTTGCCGCTATATTATCGCTCGGGAGTACCGGTGCTTGCACAGCGACTACAGAAGTGGCACCTTGCGCCGTCCGCATTGTTTCGAGATGCGCGCCGTTGAAACGAGCGAAAGGGCAGGCTGCCGGGTGATATGGGACAAGCGTGCGCAGTACGCGCTCCCGGACAGAGCCGTGCAGCCGCCAGATGGCGCAGCGACGCGCCTCGGCACGCGCTCCCGTGGTCTCTAAAATTATGCACTCGACTGTACGTGCGTGCGTGCGTAGATAATGTGCCGAGTGCCTAGATTATGAAGGGTAATTTATTACTCTAAACTTGAAGATTTTTTTAAGGTGACCGTTTGGAGAGAACGGTCTGCCTTAGGTTGCACGAGGAACCCGTTGTTAAAGGACGACGACAGTACACCTTATCACACATCACTACGCTCTAAGGAAATGTTGAGTGTTTAAATGATAATACGGCCACACATCTATATTGTCGTCATCTGGCTTTCTCGCGTTTCCTTCCTTGAAATCCCGGCTCTCACCGCTTCCCTATCAAGAATTCTGTGTCGCGCTACCTGTGTCACGCTGGTAGCGCGCATGCCGGTCGGGAACGGGAAGTGCCGGCACTGCGGTGGTAACAAAAGGAAAGTACACGAGTACATTTCGTAAATTATTGTGAGCCAAAAACTTTCCCCATACTCGATTTGTTTAGTTTTTTTCGTATAGCGTACATATAACTTGCTCTTGGAATAGTTAGTAATACGTCGTCTTGAAAATTAGATGCCACTTGACTCCCTCATTCACACACTCACGACATTCGACTATACTCAAGTTTGTGGGGCACGTTCGTGTGCGAACGAGGGAGCGCCAAGTTGGGCCTATTGATGACGCCACTGTATACACACGCGATTTTCTCGAGGGAAGCAGGGCGTTTGCTGCCTCGCTCGTGAAATCTGCATGCCTCCAACTTATTTCGCTCCGTTCTCAAGAAAACGCCGCTCAAATGTCCTCGTTTCGACATTAAAGTCCCAATCAAGCTCGAATCGCAGAAGGATGCTCGATTTCCGGGAAACACTCGCAAAGTGTTAGTAGCGTATATGGAACACTGTATATGACAGTGTACAATTTTGAATGACGCAGTGTATGAATGCTTGAAAATAAGGTGTACTACCCTAAAAACACAGCCATTCGTGAAACATTTTGGTAACACCTCCTTTAACATGAAACGACTAAGGGCAGTACTCATATGAGGAACATCGCCAACTTGTCGATCAAACAATCAATCATCTTGCTTAAGCCGATGCACCGAACATATGACAGTTCTGCGACCACGCATAACAATGGTTTTCAAACAATCTCCAACTGTCTTCCTTCCACATTAAACAAATATAAACTAAATGCGATGAAAACATACGTCATCTTTATAAAAAGGCATCGTGTCGACTAATTTTACGAGTATCAACCTAGTTTCTGTGTTTCTTGAAAATATGTGTTCCTTACTGAATTTAGTGTCTGAATTTTTTATCGCTTTGCTTTGTGTATCACCGTTTTATTATTGCGACAAGTGAGAATTCTTGTTAACGTTGCTGCTGCTGTTATTGATCGAGGAGGGGGGACCAGTCAAGCTGCCTATATGCAACTTTTATCCCACCATCCTTGCTGTTTAAACATGTTTTGTATCTATGTACCAATAAATTTCACGTCACTTCAGTTCAACTCGTATCTAAATATAGTGCTGCAAGTCTGCGATGACCGCGAAGAATATTCCTATCGGCTCAATCGATGACGTTTCATTTTTTTTTTTTATGGCGTTGTGTTTTGTGCACGCTTTACAAGGGCGCTGAAATACTTGTGCATGAAACCCAAAAGTTTATCCAGCATTTTTTTTTTTTTTGCGGGGGAGGGGGGCAGGACTGGGGGGTTACCAGAAGGCGCAGCTAAGAGGGGGGGGATAACATTATGGGCCGCATCGCTACAGCGCCTCTAATAGTGTGTGTTGAACGAATTGAACGTTTTTATACGCTATTAATTTTCGGTAGTTTGGCGAATATCCCACAAATTGGCACGGACTACGTGCGAGCAGTCCACGTAGTTTCAGCCCGAGCCCTGTTTTCTGTCAGGCGCAACAAACTTCAAACTGTTAGGTGTCAAGTGAGTGATGCTGAGCAGGCACTCATACAAACGCCGCTACGTTAGCACCTATTTGATATTTTCTTTAATTTATGGACTACAGTCTGCAACACATTCAGGTGTATGAGTCTACAGGTTATGCGAAATAACTCTCTGTCTTGTCAGCCATGCATGGCACGTAGTGTGCTGCGTTTTGTGTTCACTGTGCGATGCTGGTAAAGTGTAGTACACTTCAAATTTCAGACTTGGAATGCGCATATTCACCTATAATTTCTTCCCTAACTGTTAAAAGCAACAAGTGCGTTTGGACCTGTTGCTGTTTCCGCCAGTAACAAATAGGAGAGCTTCGTACACTAGCTTTAGCAAAACTTAGGGAAATATGTGAAAGAAAACACATAGATAACTTTTTGGCAGTTTAAATAAATGACATCCAGTCTTGTATGCAGGTTATAATGTTGCCAATATCTAGGGGAAAAAAGGGGGGGGGGGCTGCATCCTATTTAGATCCGGCGCCTATATCAATCCGGCATACTGGGAATCTGGAATTTTCGTTAATAGAACTGGCATTGGATTGTGTGCGCAACCAGCTAGTACAACATAAGTGGTTATGCGGGATCGCTTGAATTTACATGCAGCCAGCGTTACGGCAGACATAAATATATGTACAGTCACGCTGACAGCGATTTTTTTTTTTCACTTATACGTGGTCCTAATCCGCTGACTAGCCCGTCCCGCACTTGCTTACTACTTGAGCGCCCATCTTCCTGGCGGAACAGTGCAGCGCCACTCTTTAGGGCCACCACGGAGATCCGCTGCCATTGTAAGGCGTCTTCGAGGAAAAGAAAACTCGCTCTTCTTGCTTTGAGCAGGAAAACCCGCCGCGAGGGGGTGTGCTACTTTGAGGAAGTTTCCTGTTCTTTCGTGTTTTTGGCGCTGCCGTGAAGCAGGCTGCGGCTCGTTGCAGCGCGCCCGACTTTGACACTGGCGGCTTCGCTTGGTTTGCTTTCCGCGAAGCTCATGCAGCCGCGACCTTGCCTCGTGTCGACAGCTAGTTCTGCATTCCTACCGCAATATTTGCACTTGTGTGAGCATACAAGGGGTGAGCGGGAAAGAAAATAAAAACTGTGTGAAGGATTGTTTGTCTACGCGATAACGCGCGATCCGTATGCAGATCAGATGGCGGGAAGACAAAAAAAAAATGTTACGAAAAGTGTGAATCATGACACGCCGGGGCGAGTGGGAACAGGTTAATCCATGCCGTCACTTTAATAATTTCTGGAGTTTCACACGCACAAAAATTACAATATGGTTACGAAGCTAAAAGGATGCTTTGGCGTGTTGGTACGGCATACGGAAACAAAATAGCGTGAACGGCGGAGCACCAGTGTGCTCCTTTTTCTTGTGCTCTGTCGGTTGCACTGTTTTGTTTCAGGTACGCCGTATTAGATGGCGCCATGAATATCGACCAAATGGGGTTCTTTAGCGTGAACTGAAATTTATTTATAAAGATGAAGCTAAATATTTGAACAGGGAGACTAAATTAAAACAGAACGCTAAGTATTAAAACATGGAGAGGACGAACTCGCTTTGTTTAAGTGGGTTATAATATGAAAGAAGCACGCTCTAATAGGGGAAAATTGACTCCTGGATTAACACAAAATATGACGAACATGACTACACAGCAGCGCAGCCATTCGTTTGTTTTTGTCGATCGCCAACGCAACACCAAGCGGTCAAACCAGCCAAACCGCGCTTGCGGCGTCGGCGTGATTGGCACCCTTTCCCTCCGCGAGCTCTCTGCCTGTTATTGTGGCGCACAGCTATCACCATCATCACTTACCTGCTCTACTGCAGCGCCTCCTATCAGTCTAAAGCGTTTCGACATGGCGGCTGTGTGTGGGCAGCAGCTGTGTGGGTCAATGTGGCGCTCTGGCTCGTTGCGCGGTCGGCGCGGTGGCCAGTGGTGTGCGGCGAGTTTTGTTCTAGTGAACTTCAGGACTTCTAGGCCAAATATGTGTTCTAACTTATATACGTGCAGCAGTAAGTTCAGTACAATGCAAGTGAGACGTGCGACCATTCTTCCTGGCTCGAAAAACTCCGGCACCAAATCAGGTGTGCATGTGTCAGCTGTTTTCAGTGACATATCTTGTTGATTGTACAGAGCGTACAGGTAAGCCCGTCACTTTGAACACCTGTTTAAGTTGAAGACTTCTTTGGAATGTGCTGTTGCGAAGCAAAACTTAGTGACCTTCACTTTCTGTTGTCATGACAGTTGATCTTGAACAATTTCAAAGCTGCAGTTGGCGTTGCGTTAGAAACACGTAGACGTTAGTTGGGAAAAAGAATAAAACAAGACATTGTGGGTGTTTAGTGTTGCGTTACTTCTGAGCAGTCGTGGCGGCTTTATTTGAACGGGGGGCGGGGCATATGCAATATGTAGTGCGACAGCCTTTTTTTTTTTTTTTAATCTTGAGCGCGCGAGCGTCGACCACCGGTTCCCGGAACAGCGTGGCAGAAGACAGCTGCACAGGACTGTTCATAGCGCGCATACGTATTCCCGTTCATTTCGCCACCGTGCTTCGTTATACGGTGCCTATCGACGCTCGCGACTTCAGGTTCAAAATCTGGGTGGCTTTACCACTTTATCAGGTGGTCAAAATTAATGTGGAGTCTTTTTTTTTTAATGCGCCGTCCTTCGTAACCCGCTGTGCAGTTGCGAGACGTAAATCCATAACTTATTATTTCTTAACTTTCGGACATAACATCGCGAGGGCCTATCGAAGTCCTAATCAAAACTATTTACAGTGCGATACAAATGCGGGCTATGCGATGTCTTATAATTGCGCTTCTGGGTTCACATGACATTCCGGAAAGTTGACGAACGACAAAGAAATGCATGTCGCGGGCGACGCGACGATTGCGTTCTGCATTCACCGTAGTCGTAGCGGCCGCGATGCAAAAGGTTGTTTGTTACCACTTGGCAGTACACATAACATCACCCACCCATAGTCCCAGCAGCTGTTGGCTCAGACATTGATATGATTATACAAGTTCAGTGCCCGTCATTATGTTCAACAGCGAGAATCTCAAGGCATGCTTTTCCTAGATTTATTGTCGGTTTGCTTCAGGTTCTGAGTCATTGTTAATAGTTAAGCATTTTGGAAACGCCCTACTCCACTATAACATAGAACTGTGTGGTGCTTTGTTCTATTGCAGCCATGTCAGCACCACCATGGAAGGAGGCAGCCAGCCTCATCGTAGTTAGCCGTGCACCATTGCGAGATGTAGTGGGAAAAGACTTGGCAACGGCTATGATGGCCACCGTGTGGAACAACCAGACTGAGCGTGTGTCACGCTGTGACTACCGTGTGCTGATGGTGAAGCGTTCAAGCCTGAGCTCGTTCATGGCCAATGCTTATGTGTATCCAGGTGGCCTCTGTGAGCCATGTGACTTCTCATCTGATTGGTGGGAGGTGTTTGCAGCTGTGGGTGCCACAAAAGAAGCACTTCTCAGGGATGTCTGCAACAAGGCTAAGGGTCCACGGCCTCCAATGATTACAAAGCCCATGACATTGTCTCACAATCAGCTCAGTTCTGAAAACCATTTGCCAGGTGACTTGGCTTACCGTATCTCTGCCATTCGGGAGACTTTCGAAGAAACGGGAGTCCTGTTGCTGACGCAAGCTGCCCCCGCTCGCGGTGAAGCTATTCTCGCAGATTCTATTAGTGAAGGCATAGACACAACACTGTGGCGGCAGCGGTTGCGAGAGGATCCTGTGAACCTGTTGCGCATGTGCCGGGAAAATCGTCTCTGTCCTAATGTCTGGGCCCTACATGAGTGGTGGGACTGGTTGACACCCATCTCGGTGGGTCACCGGCGTTATGACACCATGTTCTACATATGCTGCATGGATAAGCAGCCACAGGTGGTGCTCGACCAGAGTGAAGTCATTACACTGAAGGTAAGGTGTACTAGCCATTTGTAGCGAGCACTTCAATTTTGTTTAGCCTGACTGGCTGTGTAGCAAGATATATTCCAATCCTTGTGTTCTATTGCGTGTTAAATTTCTACAATATATTAATTTAAATTGGTTGTCCATCTCTGCTTCACATTTTTGTTAACCAATCTAAAGCTTTCAAAGCTGTTAACCATAGGTCACTCATAGTATTTTTGTCTTGAAAAAATGAGATGGAATAATAAATGATTGCAGGAGTATTGCATGCTGAAACTGGGATACAGTTATGAAACACACCATAGTGCTGGGCTTTTGACTAATTTTTAACACCCATTGTTCCTCAATATACACCTCAATCTAGGTACACAGATGTTCTTTCATTTTGCCTCCATCAAAATGAGGTCACTATGGGCGTGAATCAAACCAGTATGCTCGAGCTTAGCAGTGCAAAAATCTTAAATAGTAGTGCAGTAGATCATCGGCAGGAGTTGGACATACAAAATGTTTTTTTTTTGTCAACATTTACATTTGGGATTCGAAGAGTCGAAAACCGCAGTCTGTCTGGGAAGGAATGGAAGATGACAGGTCTAACATTATGAGATGGAAAGACAGCAGAATTTATCTGAGAAATAACAGGGGGGTTACTAAGGGGAACAGCGCAAAAAACTGGACGGAGAAAGATTGAACACTCGACACAAGCGCTAACGAACAACTGTGTGTAAATTTTTTACACCTGGAAATATATAGCTGAAAACAAGAACAAAAACAGTCACGTGCACATAAGAGGGAAAGGGAAAGATAATCTGCCACGAGTTGAAAAGTACAAGTTAACTACTCAAAAACAGTATATCTTTTTCCGGGAGAGCGAGTGAAGGCTCACTGACGCACATGTTCCCTTTCATCTTGATATGAAAGCCTCGTTAATTTCGTGCTGTCTTGTTACGATAACTTGAGAGTATCTTGCATTAATGAAAGAGCGGGGCGCAGCCACACAAGAAGCAATGGGCTGCCAAGGTGCTGCTTGTTGAAGTCCTGAGGTTATTTGTGTGCTCTCTCAGGTGGTCATTCAAACAGTGACCGGTGTGTCCAGTACTCACAACTTTTACAGATGATGGCGTCCCCAAGCAGCATCAGTCATAAGTGTCGTTTGGAGAATGCCCACACAGTCAGCCCATGCCATCGTACAGTGGGCCTTACATTGGTAGTTTGCTGGTACTTTATATTTTATTGCTGGCAATTCTTACTACGGTTATTATGAATTCAGTAGTGAACTACCGAAGTCGGACAGGTACTGCGAGTCGTAGTAGCTAAGATTTACTCTTTGTTGTTTGCTTGCTGAGCTAGAAGAATCACGAAATATGTTGGATGTCGCTGTGCAGACGCCGTGCAGTCAAAGGCAAGGTTTCCTGCGTTGCACGAGCACGGCCACTTGATCTTCCCCGGCCGTTGCACGAGCACCGTTCACAAAGCTGCATGTGCATTTCTTCACACCGCAGCAGACGATATGCCCGGCGTTTAAAACTACTTTTCCTTCAATACCCACCGCACACGCATTTCTCAACATGCAGTGTGGGATATAATACATGCTAGAGTTAATTGCCTTCTCAGCAAAGCCTTGACAACACGGTGGCTGCAGCCAAAAATACCACGCAGTTCGAAGTGACGGGCACACCGGCGGCGGCTGCCGGTGCGCCTGCTACATGATCCCCCAAACGACAGCTATGTTGGGCTTGCACTGGCGCCCTCTCTAGGCGGTGAAAGTTGTGAAAAGGACAGATTACAGGACAGCGGAATGTCGTACACTATGTTGCTCACACACGCAACGTACTGCGTCCTGTGTTTCTTGATGCAGGAGTCTCGGGCCTGCCTTGCCTACAATCTGCTTGAGTGCATAGCTTACACAGTGTACATAAGGGATGACAAAAATTTTCGGTCTTTCCTGCGTTGGGCGTGTCCAAGAAGATTGTTGGCAAGGCAGGCGTGAGACTCGTTTTCTTAGCTCCTCGTAAGCTCGGCTGCCTTTGCAAGAATGTGAACAATGACAATCCCAAGGAGCATGCATGCATCAAGAAACCCAGGACACAGTACGTTGAGTGTGTGAGCAACGTAGTGTACGACACTCCGTTGTCCTGTGGTCTGTCCTATACTGGACACACAGGTTGCTGCTTGAACGACCGCCTGAGAGAGCACGCAAATAACCTCAGGACTTCAACAAGCAGAACCTTGGCAGCCCATTGCTCCTTATGCGGCTGCGCCCCGCTCTTTCATCAATGCAAAATACTCTCAAGTTATCGTAACAAGACAGCATGAAATTAACGAGGCTTTTCATATGAAGACGAAAAGGAACATGTGTGTCAGTGAGCCTTCACTCGCCCTCCTGGAAAAGGATATACTGTTTTTGAGTAGTTAACTTGTAGTTTTTGACTCGTAGCAGATTATTTTTTGCCTTTCGCTCTTATGTGCACATGATGGTTTTTGTTCTTGTTTTCAGCTATGTATTTCCAGGTGTAATAAATTTACACATAGTTGTTTGTCAGCGCTTGTGTTGTGCATTCAATCTTTCTCCGTCCCGGTTTTTGTGCTGTTCCCCTCAGTGTCATGTACCAACTGGCCCTTCAATAAACCTTTCGAAAGGGGGTTGGTGACATTGTAATTGACATTAACCAAAAAGGAGTGGACCTGGGCAGGTCTTGCATTGCATTGTCCAGGCAACCTATCATCAGTTACAGCAAGGAAATGAATACTAAGTGGTTGGAAATGCTGACGAGGGCGTAGGTAAATTAGGCAGGTTGATGAAATATCATTAGCTGAGACTACATGAGGTAAATTGAACATCATTGGCAGAGGCCTCTGTCCTGCAGTAGATAAATAATATACAACAAATGGTTAATGTATTGCATGCTGTCAGCTCTTGTGGTGCAGTGCTAGTGAAAAAGGCTAGCTGCTGTAAGAATTTATTGACGAGAAAAGGGAAATCTGTACCGGATTGCTCTGTAAGTGGCACTGAAAACTGGCCAACAATCGGATTGTTTAGTCTTGCTCAACTATACATCTTAATTCAACAGGTCAATAAGTCTTGTAAAGCTTCTGGAAGGTCCGGTGATTTCACATTGTGCGTGGCAACCTTTTTTTGTGTCTATCAAGGGAGTTGACTCCTTGTAACCAATGTAAAGGGATTAATTCTTCATGTAGGCATGCATTCAGGGCATCAGATAAGATAGCATGAGCTTTACTCAAGTCTTGCATGTCTGATGTCATGAACTTGTGGCAGTTTCAGGTTAGTACATTGGAATTTTTAATGAACCAGCTGCCACTGCGTCCATAATGTACAAAATGCCCGAGTTTGTTGTAACGCACCAGTTCCTATAGAATTTTTCTCAACTTTTTTGTGAATAGTAAAAGTGTCTTATCTGGTATTGAAAATATTTAATCTACCGAAATAGTTTAACCATATGTTTTATTATACCTAAGTATACATTTTATGGAAGTTGTCTGGATCCCACTAAAGTAAATGCCCATTTCACCTCAAGCCCTACGCTTCTTAGTCTGTTATTCTGGTTTTTATTAATTGTGCAGCTTTATGAATGGTTACTCGGGCAATATACTGTAGTTCGTAAATCAGCAGGTGATGTATCTCTTGAATAAACACTATGAAAGTTGCAACAGGTATTAGGTAAGAACAACTGATAGAATAATATAATAAAATATGTGTACATTGTTTGACGTAAGGGCATTGGCTGTTCAGAGCGCCTGTGACATTCGAAATGCCATGGTAAAAAAATTAATTTTGTTGTAAAGGTCACGCACTATAATGCTCTTCATATAGTCGTGCCAAATAAAGCTGTCATTATGTAGAGGGTCTTGTTGTGGAGGTGTTAAACTGTATTGGTTTTCATCTTGAAGCCGTTCAGTCTTTGAAAAACTAATGCAGTTTACTTTTATTAATTCAACGTCGATGGCACCAATGAAAGTGGTTGAACTATATGACGATAGGAATTAAGCAAGAAGCGAAGAAAACATGCTGCTGGCTAGTTGCTAATATTTGCCTTAAATCAAACATGCACCCAAATTTCATCTGTCCAAAGTAAAAATTTTACATTAACATCACATGAGAGCACCTAAGTTACATAGATATTGAACATGCACCCATTTAACCAAGAACACCATAGCATGTCTTCAATTTCAGCCATAAGGTATACAGAAAACCAGCAAACTTATATCTTTGCAAAGTGAAACTCATCTTAGGCTGCATTTTATTGCTGTGGAGAATGGCAATAGGTTGTCTGTGCAGTCAGTAGTGCATTTGATGTGTTGCACTTATTGAGCAACTCCTCAACAAACAAAAACGATGTTGGTTGCCTAACCCTTGACTAGCCACGTCATCAGCCTAACCTGCCAAGTGTGCTATTCCCCGGAATGCCAAGAACACATCACACTACTTTTTGCCATTAACTTGCATAGTTTGAGTGAGCATTAATAATTAGGCTGAAGGCGGCATGGCCTCCTATGCAAGCTTATTCGATGTTGTCCATGGTCACCAGGTTTTATTTTTCCTCCAGAAAAAATAGTGTAATCTGTTACAGAACCAAAACATAGTTTCGGTTTCGTAGCAGATTATACGTATTTTATTGGAAAAAAAATAATATAGATTCCCATTGGATCAAGCAAATACCACAGTAGTTGTGTGTCCTAATCTGGAAGGAAAGCTGGAAATGCAGCTAAGACCGACGCTGCTGCTATTGGCGTCTTCGCTGCTGGCGCCGTTGGTATCATGGATGTGCAAGATGAGTCAAACTTGAATTACTCACATGGGTAAGGCCAATCCCGTATATGTGTGGGCACTGGCCAGTATATTCAGCAGAGGTCAAAGTTACATGAGTGCTGTTGATGATGTCATTGTAATTGCCACTTCTGTATGGTAAACTTCAGTGGTTTTATGTCGGTGAGATTGTGCATGATAATGATCACTCATTGACCAGATTCAATTTTGCATTTTTTGCTGTTTTTGCTGTGAAAATAACAAAATGAATTAAATCTGAAACTTTAACCTTGCACACTGGAGCATCGAGTAACAGTGACAAGTCTCAGTCAATTTCCACGACTGCCGCCACTGGCCGCAGTGGTGCATGCGGTGTTACATGGTGCGTTGCTGGGTGGCATGCTTGATTTTACTTTTTTTTGTGTATTTTTCAGTGGTGTACCCCTGAGGGCATGCTGCAAGACTACTCCACCGGGGCGGTTTTCCTGGCGCCTCCACAGGTCTACGAAACCTCGCGGTTGCTGAACGTGGCAAGTTTCGCAGAGCTGAGCCAGTTCGCCTACCGCAGGGGCGCCGAAGGCTGCGAGCAGTGGATGCCCGTCATCGCCTCGGCAAGTGACGGCGCGTTGTCCCTACTGCCAGGTCAGTCACTGCATGCGCTTTTTAGTAAAGTGTCTCATGCGAGCGTTGCTATTCAGTTGAGACGCGTGCTTTCGAAGCGCCCCAGCTACCCAAGACCCTCTTTCCTATCAGTAGCCACGACCGGCGAGCGCGCAGTTTTTTTTTTTTCTTTCTTTCTTTCTTTCTTTCTTAGGAACCGCAGAAACAGAAGCGCGGCGATTGACCTCGCTTTCCACAGGAGACTTCCGCAAAACCTGCGCTTGGGCGCTCCGCGCAAACACGACAAAAAGAAAACATTTCCGCGGGGAACAACCGTCGGCTGCATTCCTCCCTCCCGAGGCGTCCGGCGGGCCTTCGCCCCGGTGGGCGGCCCCGTTTCCTTGACCTTGTTTCGATGGGGCGACTTTCTTTTGTTGCATTGTTTTTATTCGTAACCGCGCCGCAGTACTCCCTCGCCCCCTCTCCGTCTGCCCCCTCTCCTTCCCCGACCTAGCTTGCAGAGAAGCCGAATCGCTGGTCCGCTTGTGCTCGCCTTTGAAGCTGCTCTGTGGAAGCCGGCTTCCCACTCTCATTGCATTCAGAAGCATTCGCATCGCTCGCACTACATGATTCGACGTTAATAGATCTGGGCGCAATAATAGTGATCGTTCCTTTGAGCAATATTTCCGACCAGGTTTCTCGCGGCTAGAATTTTTGCAAGGGCGAACTTTTCAAGGTCGTCTCATAGTGCGATTTCAATCGCTTCTGACGGAAATAACAGTTCGGATGATTACGGGCTTCCAATGAACGATTTCCACAGTGTTGTTTCAGCCTGTCATCACGATTGTCGCGGTTTTTAATTGCTGACGTCTAACGGTGTATCGAGCACTTTTTTCAAATGGGTGGGAGGAAAGGGGTGATGCCCGTCATTCTTTTTGTGGCAGATATATACACAAATTTTGGGGAGCGTGAGGAAGGGGGATAATGGCTCCTGCCATTGCCCCTTCCCCCCCCCCCCCCCCCCAAATGAAAATAGACTGATAGCAAATGTGCCAAGAGCATGGGTGCAACAGCTGCGCCAACACCGCGAAATTTGCTGAAATTGCACCACGCTGCGCCAAAATGCCCGACCAGCTTCAAAATTGTCCCACGTGCGTTGATTTTAGCGCGAAGTAAGCCCACATTGGCCCCCTGCACTTGGCGTCATCAATCAAACCAACCGCTAGACTCTAATCTTAAAACGCAAATTAAAATTCTGTTTGGCGTTGCATATCATTGTTGCCAGACTTTCAGGTGGTTGTTGCCAGACTGCCGCCAAATTTGGCGGATAAATTTGTCTCTGTAGTATGACTTTTCCGTGAAAGTTTGGTGTCGTCCGCGGTGCATTTCGCGAGTGCGTGAGCAACGTTAGCCGTTGTAATTCACGGAATGAACGTAAAATGCGCGTTGCAGAAGTTGGGACGCGTTCTCTTGCTGCCTACGCTGCTGTGAAATTAAGAGATCGTGTCTCAGAGTTGGGGGAATCAACGATGTGTCGTCTGCCATGCATTTCACGAGTGCGTGTGCGACGGAAAAGTCGCTACTACAGGGGCCAATTTCTCAGCCAAATATGGCGGAAGTCTGGCAACAACTACCCCAGTGATCGAAGTGCTCTTCCGATTGCTCCAAACTTCTCCAAAAGAGAAATGCTGCTCCAAAGTGCCATATTTGCTAGTGACTGCTCCAAACCTGCTCCAAAATGGTGTTGGCAAGCTAAAACGAATGAAGTTAAACTATGGGACCATACTATGAGCACAAGCGAAACCAAAAGAAAGCTGTATATACTATCATCCTAGTATGCTACTCAGTGGTGTAAATCCAGAAAAATCTCTAGAAGTGACTCATATCAGGCCATGGTGTCCAATTCATATTTTTAATATGGGATCTATTTTTTTTTCATATACGAATTGAATCATGCTTTCAAATAAAATATAAAAAACGAGCATGGGGTCCGAGCTTGAGCAATTGCATTGTTCTATTCAGTCTTTTTGTTTTTTTTTCACCTTTTTTTTATTTCCGTAGTTCACTCAGCTGAGGGGCATTAAACACAGGTACGCAGTAAAAGATAAAAAGCCTTTTAAAAAGTTGATTACACTATACTAAACTGTTAACTCAGATATATCACATGGTAAACCTAAATCTCATGAGGGGCACTTGCAAGGGTCGTCCTCGCCAACTTGAACAAAAGGAAAGTCCGAACACTCTTGACATCCCCCCCCCCCCCCCCCGTCCATAATTTATGCCAACTATACTGTTTATATACTAGCATATGGCATGTTTAATAATAAATATATTTATTAGATGCTTAAGTGATGTTTTAGGCTTCAGGAGTCGTTAGGAACATGCAGCTGCTCCGAAAACACCAACAGCAACTCTAAGCTATAGTATTTTTTTTTTTCTGCTCCAAAATCTGCTCCCAAAAGCAAAATGTCGCTTCCATCACTGCATTGTTCTATTCAGTCTCTTTTTTTTTACCCTTTTTAGATTTTCATAGTTCACACAGCTGAGGAGCATTGAACACAGGTACACAGTAAATGATAAAAAGCCTTTTAAAAAGTTGATTGCACTGTACTTAACTGTTAACTCAAATATATCACAGGCAAAGCAAAATCTCAAGTGGGACACTTGCAAGGGGTGACCTCCCCAGCCTGAACAGAAGTAAAGTCCAGACTCTTTTGACCCCCCGCCCATGATTTACGCCATCTATACTGCTTGTATACCAGCTGTATAGGGAGTGTTTAATAATAATTATAAATATTTCAGTGGTGAGACAGCTGCACATATTGAACATTTTTGATACATTTCCGTTTTCTTGCACCAAGCTGCTCCAAAATCATACAAATCGAGGAAATTACACCGAACTGCTTCAAAACAGCCTCGAAAGCTAGAATTTTGATGCCAACTTCAGCTTCACTGGAGAAAGAAAGAGTTTGACTAATAAGACGCACCCAATTGTGTGTTTTTTTTTTACTTTGCACCCTTCTGGTGACTAAGGCTCCCATGGTGCCGCCATAATCTTTAAACTTTTGCAAATATGCGTAACTCCACAAAAATGTGCTACCGTGCATCGAGCGTGCTGCTTTTACTAGCTAGGCTGTGTGATCTTGTGCCACTGTCGGCTAGGGAAAACAAGAGTTGGGTTGCAAGCGTAGCAGGGTTGACTGTCCAGTTCTTTGTTGTGCGTAGCGCGTTCCTCCGGTCACTGTGGCTTTCATGTCAACGCTGCTGCGTGCGGTCACGTAGGAGTATGTGTTTGCCGTGAGCGAGTAACTGTAAATGTGGAGTCATTTGCCTGCATCTGACGCATTTCCTGGATGTTCTGGCACGTGCAAATGGGTTCTCAAAATGGGTTTCGTGAGTGGCAGAACGTGTGCAACCCATTCCCTGTTTACACCCATTAGCTACTTATTTATTTCAACAAGCGAGTTCTCATTGCATTTTGCATTTAAAAAAGCCATCGCACGTGAAATCCACACATTGGTGTCTGCAGGTAGAAACACTTGGTTACATGCAAAGCCGTGGTGACAAAACACGCATTCAAACAATTGTAAACGATATTAACGGGCACCTCGGCACTTTATTCGTGACTCATTACGCTTCGGCGATCACTTGCACAGTTTTCATGAATGGTGATTTGCCACTGCTTCATTTTGTAATCAAAACTAGAAATGAGCGCTTCAAGAGGCATCATTGCATGGGTGCCGGCCCTGGGCTTGACGATCTTTAGGCTTATCTCAATCTGTGTTTCGGTCGGTGGCAGTGGGACTTAGTTTTCTTTGTTTCCTTCTCTTTTTTTTTTTTTGCAATAAAACCTGCCTCTACGTTCAGTGGTTCCTTTGCGTGGACACGGATTTTTTTTTACCTGCGCTGCGGGAGCACATTACGGGAGTCGTGGAGCGGCATAGGCAGCAATCGCAAGTCGATATATTATCGGCTGCATCGACGGTGATAACCTATAGAATATTATACAAATATAGAACTTGCCAACTTGTGTTGTAATAACGTGTGGTTGCTTGTGTGAAGAGGCGTTATCAGTATTATTTGCTTATCAATTAGTGCCATACGCACGCACTTTACGAGATAGTCGATGCGGCGAGGTTTCTTGGCTCTCGCGCTGCACTCTTCAAGGTGTTCCTGCATGAGGTGGCTGCGAACGGCAGTGCAGTGGGCTTTTGTTGTCTGTTAAAAGCTCCTGACGCTATCATGTCAAGCTTTTGTTCAAGCGACTGGCCACTGTTACATCACTAATATTCTTTTGTGATCACAATTTTTGCATTTCTTTTTAATGTGATGTATTTTTTAGGTGTTTATGGGGAACCTAGCTTTCAACAAAATCCTTCTTTAACTATTATTTCTCATGCTATGAGGGCTACATGGTACGTAAAAAGGCAGTGCAGTTCATACCTAGCAATAATCTATTTAAAAACTTCCTTCAAAATCTGTTTCAGTGTTTTATGTATTATAAGCTAATTAAAATATGCACTGGTGCCTCCACATTGCTAAAAATTGGTATTTTTAAGCTCCCAGGACAATATATTAAATGCCGCTAACTGCTCCAAAGCAACGTTCTGCTCCAAAAATGAAGTTTCGCTGCTCCAAAAACTGCTCCCATTTTAGTTTCAGCAGTCTCACCCCTGTTTAAGTAAAACGATAGCCTTAGGTCTAAAAACTGAAGGTTTAATTTCTGCAGCAGTTCTCTTGTAAAGTCAAATACGCTTACATTCTTTTTAAAGGGACACTAAAGAGCAAAACGATTTTTCTCATATTAGTAACTGTAATTTCACAATCCCAAAAACACCTTTCTTAACATGACATGATGCTTGGGAATGGAGAAAACATGCAAGAAGAAAATTCGGGTAGAGATTCCACTGAGATTGGTGCACCAAACACAGTGATGTACAAAATATTGAAGGCGTCTGCTGGGGGTCCTACACAGCTTCTACTCAAAAAAAAAGAAGTACATTGTCTTCTGTAGGTGCCCTAGACCTAGCATACGAAGGTTT